CAGATCAGACTGTCAGATGGGCTGCCTCTGTAAAGTTCATGTCAGTTGCAGGTCCTTCGTGGTTGCACACAGCTTGTTCTGCACTCTTCGCTATTGAGGACATGTTTTTTTTTTTAAACTGCCTAAGCCGATCCTGGTCAGTAGTTTGGGGCGGATCCCTACGAGGTTTGGAATACGGCGCTGTTCCTGCCTGGCAGTAGTCCACAGGAGCAGCCCCATAACGGTGTAGGTATCTAAGCACATTTACTACCGGTAAATTGACGTGGTTCAGAGAAGGAAGGCATGAACAGGCTATGTTGGAGAATAAATAGACGGATAAGTGTTATTCCTTACTTGTACGGGGCTCAGTATCTGACTCAGAAAGCTTGCTGAGGAAAGTGAGGACAGGCATGCTTCGCGCACAGTGACACGCTTCCCTTTCGGAAGTAACGGGTGAGAATTGTCAGCATCTTGTTCTCCAGGGTAGGCACGTGTGTTGGAAAATGAACAGGCATTGGTAGTTAATGATTGTTTTTTATTTTCCTTTTTATTATTCAGCCCTCCTAGACCTTGAGTTTAATTGCTGCAGATATCACCTGCCTCCATTCCTCTATCTGACTGACCTTCTCTTTCCTCTCAGTGACGTCAAGTTTGTGTAGGTGTTTATGTAAGAAATCAGTCCACGTTCTTCTCGATCTGCTTCCTAATCTACCCCAGTTCAACTTTATCATGTACACAGTTCTTGTCTCTCTGTTAACTGCTATTGTCTCCATTTGCCACATCCATCTAATTGTATTTATCATCATGTTGCAGGTCCTTTGCAGAACGTCGATCTCATCACGATCTGCCTGAAAGAAACCCGGTCTCTTGCCAGCTCTCCGGCCTCGTGTACTTTCATATTCAGAGAGTCACCTATATCCTCTGCCCATCTTTGTGTTGGTTAGCCACTGCCTCTCCTGCCTGGTACCCTGTCTTCTGCTATAATTTTTGTCCAATCCGCCATGGTGATTAAAACGACCAAAATATTTCATCTTCGGGGAAGATGGGAGATATTCCACGACTCACGTCCGTATGTTGCTACAGGGAAGATTGGAGATAATCCACGACACACATCCGTATGTTGCTACAGGGAAGATCGGAGATAATCCACGAAACACATCCGTATGTTGCTACAGGTAAAATTCATGCTCTAAAAATTTAAAGTTTGATTTTCTTACTGGTGGTTAGCCACATACTTTTAATCCGCGTATAAACTCAGTAGTATGTAAACAGACTACGATTGTTTGAGTTCCTAAATATTCTCTTGTGGTGGTATTTTGACATGCGCATCTTGTTGCTCTTATGTTTACGCAGGTGATACTTATCACACTCTGCAATGATACTGTTTACAAGATAACCAGACAAATTTGCATAATTATTGGATATGTATTTATTAATACAAGGAAGCGATAACATTACAATGAATATGACACAAATAATAACGCGGCTCATATAAATAAACGGTCGAAAACTGAATGAAAGGATAGCTTTTGGAAATTATTAACAACTTCATTTTCACAAAATTTACATATCAATATCGTCATGTTGTGCTCTTTGCACATCACACAGGGCTCGCAGTTGATTCGCCCACTCTCCTTAAGCCTGTGTAATCCTTTCTTCACTGTGTATGGAACCCAGTTGGCCATCATCGGCCTATCTCGTTAAAGTTCATCTTTTTTTTTAGACAGCAGGCTATGTGTTTCCTATTGCAGTGTCTGTTTTGTGATTCTTTGACCGCAATATCTCAGGATGCGCCCAGTAACTCTTGTCATCCTTTTTTCGTAATTGTGGATAACACCAGTTGTCCAAGCATTTCTCTAAGAGCTTCCCCCCCCCCCCCTTTTCCTTCCAAATAGAACCCAACAACCCACAAGGGGACCCAGCTAACAAACTAATGGAAACGATTGTCAGATGTGCATACACAAATAGACCTCATTACCGTCGCCGATCACTGCCCCCCCTCCCCCTTTTCCCATCCCCTTTGTCCCCTTAAACCTCTTCCTCAATCTTATTGTCACCGCATTGAAAGAAGAAAAATAACAATTACCGTGACAAGATTGGCTTTATATTTACACGTATACACAAACTAGGATCTATGGGTATATCGTTCTTTGTTGCAAAGCACTAGTAGGAAAACACGCACTCGTACGCAAGTACTCACATACACATAGTTACACACAAACACACATTGTTCCGTTGCTCATCTACTGAGTGGGTGCATGGCGCGACACTGCGTGCTGCGGATTTAATTCGGAATGCTTTTCTTCTATGTTCCACATGGCTTTTGGTGTGAACTGTAGATTAGAAAAAGGCGAGTTGCCTGTTGCCGTAGAAATTATGGTGCCAGATGAATTAATTGCGCCAACAACTGATTTGTTATAAATGCTGCTTCAATCGACAATAAACAGCATATCTAGCGCTGGACTGTTTGTGTTGGCACTTCACAGTACTGCCTTTTGTATTTAACATCAGTGGGAGCTCTTGGCTTTGGTGAAACTACAGTGTCTTTTTGTTCACAAAAAGCAGTGTTGGGCATTCTGTGTGGATTTCCTTGCTACAGGAGCAGTGCAACTTTGAGTGATGTGCTTGCTATAAAGTCGGCATTCTGCGAATACTATTTACCTGATTATATATATATATATATATAATATATATATATATATATATATATATATATATATATATATATATATATATATATATATATATATATAAAATGGACACATGTAAGCGAGCCCACTCATACCAACAAGGATATATCATGGACACGTGTAGGCGAGTCCACACATACCCACAACGATATATCACGGACACATGTAGGTGAGTCCACACATACCCACAACGATATATCACGGACACATGTAGGCGAGTCCACACATACCCACGACGATATATCACAGACACATGTAGGCGAGCCCACACATACCCACAACGATATATCACGGACACATGTAGGCGAGTCCACACATACCCACAACGATATATCACGGACACATGTAGGCGAGTCCACACATACCCACAACGATATATCACAGACACATGTAGGCGAGTCCACACATACCCACGACGATATATCACAGACACATGTAGGCGAGTCTACACATACCCACAACGATATATCACGGACACATGTAGGCGAGTCCAAACATACCAACAACGATATATCACGGACACATGTAGGCGAGTCCACACATACCCACGACGATATATCACAGACACATGTAGGCGAGTCCACACATACCCACGACGATATATCACAGACACATGTAGGCGAGTCCACACATACCCACGACGATGTATCACGGACACATGTAGGCGAGTCCACACATACCCACGACGATATATCACAGATATATGTAGGCGAGTCCACACATACCAACAACGATATATCACAGACACGTGTAGGCATGTCCACACATACCCACATCTATATATCATGGACACATGTAGGCGAGTCCACACATACCCACATCTATATATCACAGACACATGTAGGCGAGTCCACACATACCAACAACGATATATCACAGACACGTGTAGGCATGTCCACACATACCAACAACGATATATCATGGACACATGTAGGCGAGTCCACACATACCCACAACTAAGCAAATAAAACTGCAATGAATACATTAATAAGCCGATTAAGCTCCATGTGAAATAAGACTATATAATGTACACAGAACCAGCTGTACGCATAGTCCCGTACCCATATATCTACACAAAATAACACTAAGAATATATACCTTTCAGAACAGACAATACGACATCGTATAATCGATACAAACCAGCTTATAGCAGCGATGATTTGCTCCGGTTTGATTCTCCTCCTTTCAGGTGTCGTACGGAAAGCAATTTGAGAGAGGAACAACCACCATCAAAACCACGTCCTATGCATAAAAACTTGAGCACACAGAGATCAAGACATGCAATAAGACGTAAAAAGTCCTTTGGCAGTTTGAAATTGAAAAGAGTCGCCTAACGGCGCTGCCGGGCGAAATTTGTAGTTAAAAATCTACCTAAAGTATTTCAGGGTCCTCGCCGGTGGTACAGAGGATGTGCATTGTGCCGAGCTTTTTCTGACTCAGACTTGAGCTAGAAGAAGAATGGGGCACTTATGGATTACTACCTGTGTGCCATGATGTTGGTCCATTTTTCAAACTTCTTTTTCTTCTTCTTCGTTCATTGAATTCTGGCGGAAGGTCCCAGTCGTCCGCTTGGACTTTTGGCTTTTACCTGGACCTGAGTTTTGCGTGTACAACCGTTTTACTGCCTTTTGTCGTTCCCTGCCTCACCCGCAGAAGTACTCTGATTTTGAGGGAGTTTAAACGTCAAACTTCAAGGAAACTAATCAGTGCAGGATTTCAGTCATGTAGCTAGAATGTTTAAACATAATATATGAGCACAGTCACCTTGTCAAGTGGTAGTTTAAAAAAAATAATAATCTGGTAACGATCAGTTGTCGAGTCGAGTTGATTCAATGCCAGGCCCTCTGGTCACACCCAGGTGCATCAAGTTGTTTTAAATCGTTTATGCTTTTTCGATCCGTGGGTATTTCTTTTTTTAGGAGCACCTAACTTAACCATTCTTTTTTTTTTTTTACCGTCGTAGATTTACTTTTAATACCATCTCTCTGTGTCTATCTTTCTCTCCTCTGTGTATGTGTGTGTGTGTTTGTGTGTTTGTGTGGATTTATGCATCTGTGTATTTTTGTATGCATGTGGGTACGTATGTAAATGTCTGTAGATACTACGTTAAAATGCATAACTGTATTATGACTGTACATGTGACTAAGCCTGCGTGTCTGTTTATATGTGTGTGTATCCGTGTGTGTATGTGTGTGTTTGTGTGTATCCGTGTGTGTGTGTGTATGTGTATGTGCGGTTCAGGAAATCAAATGACTAATGGCTGTGCACAAGCTCTAGATAAAAGATAGCATCAAGCTGCTTGTATTTATAGTTAAACATGGTCCAGCTTTCCTATCTATTATTCGGACCTTTTCTATGAATTCCAGGTGATCTCATTTGAGTCTGAGGACTTGTCATAACTATTGGTGAAGCCAGACGGCCTCCATGCCGCAGCTCTCCGCTGTTAGGTCTAGATCCGTTACCCGTGTGCATCTTGTTTCTGATGAGTTCTTCTGGCAAGCTGCGAGTAAGGTATGATTCCCCGTAGGGTTGGGTAGATACCGGATGATATGCAGCGTCGTCGTCTTGATAGTCTGGAGGACATTCGTCCATAGGAGGAGCCTGCTTGGTGACTTTGAATGGCATTGAATATACGTCATCATTACTACCGTATACGTAGCGTGGTATCTGTGGCGTCAAACGGCCGTCGTCTGAGCGATGGCTCTGTTTGGATCCCTCGCTACTGAGGGAGTTTGCAGAGTTCTGTCTAGAAAGATCACTCTTCGGAGCTGCATGAAAAATACGAGGGCTTTTCGGAGAGTTCATTCCTTTTGGTGGATATACCGAGTCACTTACTGGTGACGCAAGTAGTGGCGATTTCTTTGAGGGATACAAGTCATTCACAGGTGAGGACATCTCTGGATATCTGAGCTTAAATGGCATGTTAGGAGATTGATTGGATTCGAGGAGATTCGTTGGTCTGTGAGCTACTCGTGGTGATTTCTGGGTGTCATTGGGAGCCAGAAACATATGCTGCAGCTTTGGGGAGGAATTGGGCGATGGTCGGTTGTCTGGAGATTTCAGCTTTGTCACAGGTAAGTTCTCAACCTTGCCTCGTTCATACTCCTTTGCAGCATCAATTTCTGAAGATGATGGTTCATTGATGTCATCTGCGTCACCTTTAAAGGCACTAGAACCAATGATGTTTAGATTCATGCATCGTCGTGCGTTGATGTGTTCCAAATTCCCATGAGCTCTACTGATTGTGTCATAATCTTTTGGTGGCAGCAACAATGGAGCATCCCCCATGTGAAGGCGATGCTTCAACTCGCTGGCTACACTATCAAACGGCTGCACATCAGCCAAACTCTGAAGATCCTCTTCAATCTCATCACTCCCGAACGTTGGTGATTCGTCATTGCTGTAGGTACTCGCCGTAGAGCCAACAGCCGAATCATTTGCATGGAACTGGATCGTGTTCGCAGGCGGCACATATTTTGGATCATCGATTTCCCCTTTGCTGGCAAGTTTCAATTCTGCCTCTTGGATATGGTCCATGTTGCTTTCTACAATCTGGGACATCTGGCTGACGAAGAGAGTGGCTGTTCGAGCCTCATCGAATCGATAAACATGGACGTGAACATATCTCTGAGTCCTGGGCATATAACCAAGGAAAATACAGGCAACTATGTCATCTGGTGCTCCAGTGTCTGGTTGGCTTGCCTGGTGCACAAACGTCACATCCCTGGATGGTATAGTCGGAAAAGTAATCTTTTTAATCCCTTTATTTCTTCTTTCTTCCAGTTCTTGTGTTATTTTTATGTCCTTTTTGCTAACCTGTAGATAAAGAGAAGAGAAAGTAAGTAAAAATGTGATGGCCTTAGTTAATTTGTTAGTCACATGATTTCTGTGTAGGTTCTGGGACCACATCGAAGAGGGGTTGGGGGGGGGGGGGGAGGGAGGGGGAGTGGACTCAGACTTGAGTTAAAAGAAAAACTGAGCACTTATGTGTTACTACCTGTGTACCATGATGTTGATCAATTGTTTAAACCTCAGACCTCAAACTATAATTTCTCACCTCAGAAATTCGGCATTCAAACTGTCCTACTTGGCACGGGGTACGTACTTTCCACGTACCAGAATGTGGTGAATGGCAGATGGGTGAAATATGTCCACTACCGGTGTCTACAACGATATAAAGACGTGTGCAAGCGGGACATGAATGATACAGGCATGGAGGTAGATTGTGGGGAGACAAATGTCATGCACCATGTTGTGTGGAGGTGGACAAATCAAGAAAGAAATGGGGATTAAGGGGGGGGGGGTGGGGGGGGGGGGGGCTTGGTTAGAATGACTGCAGAAAGGTTAAGAGCTGAGTGTCTGAGAAGATGCACACTTCATGGAAACAATAATCCTGCAATCTCATGCTCTCATTGTGGAAGACTTTACCTAACTTGTTTGGGTCTTGCTGGTACAATCACTATCCCGATTCATATGTATGCTCTAGCACAATATCACACTATTGTCTGGGTAGATTTAAATGTACCAACAACAATTGATAACATTTCCTGGTGCCTGTTTTTAGGTTTGATCGATATGTAAGCCTTTATCAGTTATAAATATTCACATCGAAATAGAGTAGGCTTGCTGCTTATCTAACAAGCAGGTCGTAAATTAGGGCTTTTCTTCGAAATCGGATTGCATCACCCAGAGAGGCCAGAATTTAACTGTCTGATTAAAAAAAAAAGCCAGATCTGTAAAACAGATTTGCACTCAAGTTTTAGAACAAAACTAAAGTCTAGAAGTGGACGAATAAGCAAAACTTTCCGCTGGAGTTTATAGCCGATGAACGCAAAGATAAAGAGAAAGAAGAAGAAACCCCGTAACTTTGTGTCGTTAGTTAGACGTTTTGTCATTACGAGTTCCCCCACAAGTTCTCCGTTTTGTTACTACTCGTCGCAGTAGTCAAGCCATTTGCCTCGCGTTTGAATTATGTGAGTTCGCTTAGTTCGGTTTAATAGTGCAATTTTACAGAGATCTATGCTGATCGTCGCTGAAGTTGCGGAGTTCGTGTATTATGCCACCCTCTCGGTAGGCGGCTGGCTGTTCTACGAAGAGAGATCCCGAGCCAAATGAAATAAACCCCAGTGCAATGAATGAGAGTCTCTCTTTAACTTTCAACCTCTAACCAGAGAATTAATCTTGCTTGGCTTCTCACTTCTGTTGGCGTGTCCGTTCTTACGACTGACATTAAATGCTGCCAGGTCTCCTGTTATCTAAAATGAGTTAACCATAGGACCCTTTACCACTGGGATTTCAGCCTCCGCTGAGCTATTCAGTCAGATTTTGTGTAATTACTGGATTTGTTCAAACTTATGTTATATTAACCAATGTAAGTATGGGTAACATTATTGTATTACAGTATTCAGTTTAATTATTCAATTCTTAACTGTGTTAAATTATCAGCGTTTTCCCCCTCTCTTCTAAAACGCCGATTACTCTACTATTTTAGTTACTATAATAGGTTCTAGAAGTCGTGCTCGACATTAAAAATCTCTAACTCAGCAACCGTCTAAGCTCACTCAACCTAAAATATTTTCACGTAAAGTTATAGGAAGTAAAGGCGGTCGACGTGATAATGACCACCTCGTCCATCGACTTCTAGACGGTCTAAGAAAATATTAGTCCAGTCTCATTTGCCGGTTGTCAATTTGGCAAATAACATGTCTGTTTTTTTTTTTTAAATTAAAAAAAAAAAAATTCAACTTGTCCATTTTTTCAGTCGATAATGATCAGTGATTAGTAAGGACTATCATTACAGCCCTCCGGAGAAATCACAGGTACTCTATCTCCTCCTTAGAAGCTCCACAAGAGTAAAACAACTGACCACGCCCGTTCTCTGTTAATTATCTTGACGCCGTGTGCCCTTGGTTAGCATGTTGACATCTGGCTACTCAAGGAGAACTCCCCCCCCCCCCCCAGATCTCCACCAGCCCGCACAAGGATACTGAGTCCTGCAGCGATGTATTTCCTATAGGGAGGTGTATTAATCGCAGGGCATGGCGATGCAAATTAAAGTCAGAGATGATGTTCCAACTTTCCATAGCACAGACCATGCGTTTGTTGCTCGGTACGCCTTGATTACTTCGAAGAAAAGGTAACACCAGTGCGCTTAAAACAAAACATTCTGCAGAAACGGCAAGTCAGAATAGCACTGCTCTCTCTGTCCACCTGTCAGAGCTTCCTTTCTCGGCAGCTGCCAGCGAGGGCTAGTGGGTTGCCCTACCCTGCTTTAACAGTTTTCCTATTTTCAGTAGTGATATCTCGTTTTGGGAGAGAGGGTCGTGCATTGTGTGTGGCGATAGCATCTGCCGACACACCTTTAGCCCTCACTCGTCGTGTGCTGCAAAATCTGTGGCATAGGGAGACAGCGGCTTCAGACAGAGCTGTACGGGAGTGTGGTAGGTGTGAGCTCAGAGCTTATTCATTCAAATGTGTAAAGGCGCGTCTAGCGATTCTAAAATTAGAGCGGCCTTATTTCAGATAAGGAGCCCTACCGCTACTGAGGCCCACTGTGTGAGTTCGTACTCTTTGATATTAAAGATTGTATGTGTTCCACGGGTGTTCGGGTTGGTGTGTTCTTAAGCAGATTTATCTGTCACCGACCTGCTACGAAGCCTAGACAAGCAGGTCTTTGACAGATAGACTAATTGGCGGTTTTCTTCGAAGCCGGAGTGCATCTGCGCGAGAGGCAAAGAACCAACAATCTGCATAAAATAAGTCAGGTCTGTAGAACTGATGTGCAATCAACACTTAGGATCTTGAACAAGGCTTAAGTCTAGAGGCGGATGAACAATCAGAACTCTTCGCCAGAGTTTACAGCCAGTGAACGAAAAAAAAAAAAAAAAAGAAGAAGAAATATTTGAAGAAGAAGCAAACCCCACTCGATGCAGATGCGATTCTAAGACCTTCCGACTTGTGGGCGAGTATCTGAATAAGGCACCCCGTTTGGGTTCTGCTGTCACAGTTTGTGGGGTAAAAAGGAAATGATTCCCTGTCGTTAAAGCAGGGCTGGATTAAAGCATAAGCTACATCTTAGGGCTTCACATTCTGCGGGGCTCTCTAAACGAATTCCTTTTTTGTGTGTTTTGTTTACAAATGCAATTTTCGTCTCATAGACTCTTTAGGAGGTTTATAAAATATAATTTATGGGATTTTGCAAAAATGTTCTATCTTAGTTCTTTTTATAAAAATTAAATAATAATTCCATTATTCATATATTTGAGGCGTCCGTTGCTTAGACGTTGCGAGTCCCACTGGTAATTCCAACGTCCCGTGATCGAAACCCACTGCTGGCTGTGTGAGTTTTTATCATGGTATGGAGCGTCGCAGGTCGACCCAGCCTAAAATGGGTGTTTGTCCTGGGGAAGTAAAGATGGCTGACCACATTACCCACCTAGTGCCCATTGGTCTGTAAAAATACGGGTGCTCTATTCATATACCCGATACACCTAAAGGCGTGAAAAGGTATCTTTAGTTTACTTTACTTTTCTACTATCCATATATATAAAACTCGTATAAATTTTAAAGGTTTGCAAGATTAACGTTTATTTTGTAACGGAAAGGTGTGGGGGTGGGGGCGGGGGCGGGGGGGGGGGGCGGGAGGCTTCAGAGCTTTAAAAAACTTAGAACCTAATAAAGTCTAAATCCGACCCTTCATTTATGTCAGATAATTAGGAAAGCTTCCTTCTCAGTCAGGGTGTATCTGGCTGGGAGGGGAAGAACTAACAACCCGCATGCAAATAGGCCAGATCTGTGAAACAGGTGTGCAGGAGAAACTCAAGTTGCGGAACAAGACCATAATCAAGGAGTGGTCGAACAAACACAACTGAGCCGCTGAATACTGAAGAAGAAGCAGAAAACTAGAATCCTCAATTCGCTCCTCTGCCAAAAGACAATGGCACAATGTTAGATGTTAGATGTAGACGCTATCCATCATTCGGCGTTACCAGAGAATAGGTTCAACCAGAATCCTCGAGGAGGAGCTTTGGGTTATAATTGTGACTAGGTTATGTGCTCCATATAAAATATCTTAGCATTGCGCGTCACCAAGAGCCCTAAAAAGGCTGTGTTGATGCGACCAGAAGGGGACAGACCCAAACTCAGTCGCGACCGGCGGCGAAGTCGTCTATCAGCGAACCAGTGGGCGACCCCGTCGCCGATATGCAGAGAACAAGAAAGTACTGATACTATTTTATGGTAGCTCATTCATGTCTCACCAAGATCTGAGTCTGAACTTTCTATTTAACGTATTCTGTCTAAAAAAAAAATGACTGTCAGTTAATATACAGGTGTAGGTTCCGTGGCCCCATTGTGTGGGCGAATAAAAAAGGAATAAATCCACTGTCCCCTAGATCCAATGTCCCCTAGATCTACTGTCCCCTAGATTCACTGTCCCTTAGATCCAATGTCCCCCTAGATCCACCGTCTCTAGACCTATCATCCCCTGTCCCCTAGATCCACTGTCCCCTAGATCCACTGTCCTCTAGATCCACTGTCCCCTAGATTCACTGTCCCCTAGCTCCAATGTCCTCTAAATCCACTGTCCCCTAGATCCACTGCCCCTTAGATCCACTGTCCCCTAGATCCACTGTCCCCTAGATCCACTGTCCCCTAAATCCACTGTCCCCTAGATCCACTGTCCCCTAGATCCACTGTCCCCTAGATCCACTGTCCCCTAGATCCACTGTCCCCTAGATCCACTGTCCCCTGGATCCACTGTCCCCTAGATCCCCACTGTCCCCTAGATCCACTGTCCCCTAGATCCATTGTCCCCTAACAATCATGTCGTAAATAAAAGTCCCCTAATTAGGAAAGCTTCCTTCAAAGTCGGAGTGTATCAGCCTGAGAGAACAGGAACCAACGGTTTGCATATAAATAAGCTGGATCTGTTGTTTTTTTGAAACGTGCATTAAAAAATTAAGTTCGGGAATAAGATTAAAGTCCAGAAGTGGACGAACAACAAGGACTTTTCGTCGGAGTATTCAGCAGGTGAACGCAAAGACGAAAAGAAGAAGAAGAAGAAGACACTGATGATGATGATGATACTGATGATGATGATGACGATAAAAGCTAATAAACGTTAAGTAGCATCAAATGTTATGCTTATTAAGTGTAAATGGTTATGATTTGCTATCTTTACTATTAATAGGTCGGCTCTGTGGCTAAGTCGATGTGAACGCTTCGTAATGCCGGGGTGCTGAGTTCGATCCCAGCTGCAGACCATGCGCCTTGCGTTGGTTTCGACAGTGGTATTAGGGGGCCGACCGTAAAGAAAGCAATGGCAAACTACTTGACGTAAATTTGCCTAGAGAAACCACACAGCAGCCAGGGACTACTGGGGTTGATTCTGCAACGTCCTGTAAAGGATACGCAACAAACCTTTTTACTATTATTAGAATCGACGAATCAGGTCTCTGCTGTTGTCCCGTATTGAGATTAGTTTAGTGGCGTAGGAAGGGGTTGGGTTGGGACCAACTGGGGTGTCATCACGGGTGGGGTGGGGGGGGGAGAAAAAGAAAGATGGCAAAAATATGCTCTTTAAATAAAAGTGTCCGTGTATATATATATATATATATATATATCGGAGGGGTGTCACGTTGTCTTGCCTCCAATTACAACAACGCCGATGTGTGTACTACTGTTTTATACAACAAGACGCAGCTTTCAACGAACCCAGAACATCTAGAACTGGCCCTAACGAAACCCCCCCCCCCCCCCCCCCCACCACCCCCTTACCTAAAACCTGAGCCTAGGTCACACGAGAGATTCTTTTCGAAAAAAAAAGCAGTACAACGTGACACCACTTTGACCTAGATCAGACTGAGAAAGTGTGTAGATATGCCGGGAAATGTGAACATGTCCCTATTTATTTATACCCCCCCCCCCCCCCCCTGCATTTACATTTCCTCATGCAGTTACGAGTTGTCAACATGTTTTCGAGAATATTTCTTATAGTTATGCCCTAGGCGGTTCAACAAGACAACATCAGTGAACAGAACACCTTAATCTAACGTCTGGACTAGAGCGTTATGTTCAAACTATAACTTGAACAGAACACCTTAATCTAACGTCTGGACTAGAGCGTTATGTTCAAACTATAACTTGAACAGAACACCTTAATCTAACGTCTGGACTAGAGCGTTATGTTCAAACTATAACTTGAACAGAACACCTTAATCTAACGTCTGGACTAGAGCGTTATGTTCAAACTATAACTTGAACAGAACACCTTAATCTAACGTCTGGACTAGAGCGTTAGGTTCAAACTATAACTTGAACAGAACACCCTAATCTAACGTCTGGACTAGAGCGTTATGTTCAAACAACAACTTGAACAGAACACCTTAATCTAACGTCTGGACTAGAGCGTTATGTTCAAGCAACAACTTGAACAGAACACCTTAATCTAACGTCTGGACTAGAGCGTTAGGTTCAAACTATAACGTGAACAGAATAACCAAATATGGCGACAGGCATAGACTCAAACCATAACATTAATTAACATAAAAAAGTGTTATAACAACTCCAACAGGGTGAAATATTCGAACAGTAATTAGTTTATCATCATACAGTATTTTTCACATAAGATTACATTATCCACCTCTCTTCACAAATATACCATATCGTCTTAAACATGACCATTATCTCGTCAAAAATTACTACCTTCACATTATCAAAGAAAATTTGCCTTTATTTCACCACACACTACCTTCACCTTTTCATAGACCATCCTAATCGATTCCTCCTGATGACTTCATTAATCAGAGAAGTGACCAGCCCCTTTAGGTATTTTCAGACGACAGTGTTATATTACGCTATAAGAAGGTATAGGACTCACAGCCCATGGCGATGGCGAGTTGTACTAGCAAGACCCGTCCGGAATAAGAAAAGTCTTCCACAATTATAGCAAGGGATTTCAAGACAATTATTGTCAACATTTGTTTTTAATCTGTTGCTTGTCAGACGCGCAGCCTTCTACTTTTCTGCAATCATTTCTACCTTTATTCTCATTCCTTTCCTGCTGTACCCCTCCACATAACGTAGTCCATGGCATTGTGTTCCCGTGAGTCAACCTTAATACATGTATCATTCATGCCACCCCCCTCCCCCCTCTCCCATGTTTGCACACATCTTTATATCGTACTAGAGGTCAGCCTCGACATCTTCTGTTCGTCTTTAATTCACCATAAAAGATGTCCCTAAGGACTCTGCTATCCTCTATTCTCCAGGTGTGACAGAGACACCTGAACCTTAGTAGACTAAGAGTTGAGAAAACTCTTGTATCATAGACCACACTAATAATATCACAAGTAATCCTAATCCCTTAACTTTATTATTGACCACACTAATCATATCCCACACAATCCTGATCCTTCACCTTATTATTTACTATACTATTCATATCCCACTGCGTGTTCTCGAGGCACAGTGTCCGCCCAGAGTGTCACAGGTTCTTGGTTTAATCCCCGGTAAGGATAGGATTTTTTTCACGTGGACTTGGACTTTTAGTAATTCCCCTTGGTCTCTGGGTAGTCAGATCGGACGCCCGTGTGCATTATTGCAGTATTTCAGGATCCTCGCCGACGTTACAGAGCCTGTGCACTGTGCTGAGCTTCTTCGGACTCAGACGTGAGTTAAAAGAAGAAAGGAGCACTTAAGGGTAACTACCCGTGTCCCATGATGTTGATCCGTTGTTCAAACCTCAAACCTCAAACTTCATACCTCATACCCTCCATAATCCAGATCTCTTCGTCTTCTGTTCTTTCACCGGCTGTAAACTCTGGCTGAAGGTTCTGGGTGTTCGTCCACCTCCGGACGTTAATTTTGTTCCAGAACTGGAGTGTTGCATATACGCTCATCCATTCACACGTTTGGCTTATTTGTATGGGGGGATTGTTGATTCCTTGCCTCTCAGGCAGATGTACTCCGACTTCGAAGGATGTCCCTTAATAGTCGACTCCTAGGTCATGCTTGTTGGGGAGGCAGTTTGTCTGTTCTTGTTTTCCCCACAATGGGACCCCGAACCCACACTATTCTTACGCAATCATAGAGCATACTAATCATGTCTAAAATAATCGCCCTCTCATCACATACAAGCCTCATCACCTCACATACTAACGGCATCTTGTTACACACAAACCTCATTTCATTACATACAGACCTGATGACTTCACATACAAACCTTACCTCCACACATACAAACGTTTTCCGTCATACACTATGTCTCTCTCTTTCTCTCTCTCTCTCTCTCTCTCTCTCTCTCTCTCTCTCTCTCTCTCTCTCTCTCTCTCTCATCTCATTATGTACCCTCACCTCATCACACGCATCCATAAGCTCATCACACACGCATCCCTAAGCTCATCACAAACGCATCCATAAGCTCATCACACACGCATCCATAAGCTCATCACACACGCATCCCTAAGCTCATCACACACGCATCCATAAGCTCATCACACACGCATCCATAAGCTCATCACACACGCATCCATAAGCTCGTCATACACAACTCATCTCAAAGTACACACCCATTAATTAATGCCACACATACATTTACAAACACACACAACTATCGCTTAACCTCCCTTAGCTGGATCTATACATGTTGCCATGTCGGCGTGAAAGGCAACGAACAAGGGGACAGCTTTACAAGCATTGCGTCAGCACACGTGGAAAGACATATGGGCAGAGCAGATATCTCTTACCAAGCACTGACTAAGTTAGTGGATTAGGACGAATATCTGACACTAATATGATTACGTGGCATGGGAGTAAAGTATGATAATGCATGTCTATGCTATCTTCCTAGCCAAAATAGTGGACATTATAACTAGCTCTTCATTGGAACAACCAGATGTACTTCGGAATAGCTGCTGCATAGGAGAACTAAGCACACATGGAAAAGTATAGTAGCGACAGTTATGATAACATTGCACACTACCCCAGTTTCATTAGACAATAACCTCACCTGAATCGTTAGCTTGGGTGCAGAATCCATCTTGCGGTGGCGTCGCCGGAGCTCACGAATGATCGGCTCTGTATACCCGTAGCCTCTCAGACCTCGACACTCCATCCAGCCCAGAAACTCCACATAGAACTGGGACTTGTTGCCCCCAGAGTCTTTGCTCTTGTTTTTTCCACTCTTAAACATTGTAAAAGTGACGACGGAAGCTGGAGCGATGGAAGCGTCTGTTGTGATTGTTGTGTATTTAAGGTCACCGGCGAATCTGATGTATATGCAGTGTATACACCAACAGGTTCGTAGCTTCAGCTGCTAAATGTATACGAGGTGACCCATTTGTGGTGTCAGTCCAGAACTTTAGAAGTATCCCTGTCAGACAGATGACGCAATTTCTGGGGAAGAAATGACACCAGTAATTAGAGTTTGTTAAAAGAAAAGGGAGTGTAGGGTTGGGGAGGGGGGGGGGGGGGGGTACATATGTACAAAATGTGTGTGAAAAGATGGATACTGAATTTATGAGGTTAAGGTGATGTGTGGTGAGATAGATGGGAGTGATGAGATAAATATTAAGTGTGGTTGGATTAAAAATGAAAAATAACATTGTGTGTAGCAAGATTAATGTGCGGTGAGAATAATGGCTGGATGAGATAAAGACTGTGTGTGGTGTGAGATTAAAGACTCTAAAATGGCTGTGCCCCTGGGCAGCGCCGTTAATGGCTGTTCTTTTCGATTTGGCAAGGTAAAGACTGTGTGCCATTAATGAATTTTTTTTGGCTGGACAAAAATGCACACGGGAGTCCAAACTCATGAGATTCTGTGTGCAGAGATTAACAATTTTGCCGGGAATTACTACTCTTTTCGATTTCCAACTGCCAAGTATTTTTTTTAAGTCCACAATGCACGACTACCCAAGAAAATAGAAATCCAAGCCCTTACCGGGGATTAAACCCAAACCTCTAGCACTCGAGGCGTACACCATGCCTCGAGACCACGCGGCCCCCTTGTTAACATTGGCTCATGCCCAGACAAAGAAGTTGGAACACATGCAAAATGAAGGCAAAGCGAGTCATTTTCGGGTGTATACTGTACACGGTAACTGTGTGCATGCGGAACTTATATGTAATTATGTCAAAGTACACAAATACATCTATACATTTCAAATTTGACACTCTACTAGCGTAGGCTAAACCGGATTTTAGTACCGGGTTATCTCCTTGTGGTCCGGGTAATCCTTACGCAGGAAAGCCACAGTCTCCAGATTTACGGAATTTACAATGGAATCAGACCAAAGGTTGCGAATCTTTAATACCGAGCCTAAGGGTTACAACTTGTTCGGATACTAAAACAAACATTTTCAATGGCACACTTACTAGCATGCATGTTTATCTAGTGTCACTAATACCTTCGATAGTGCATCTATGAACTATGTACTAGACTATAGGTTCTCAACCTTTTTGCGCCCTGGCATCCTTGTCGTGTAAATGCATTTTCGCGGCGCACCGACCCTTAAAGCGGTAAAAACAGTGCACATATAATGTTCAGTTGTCTTTAATGCGTTGAATAAAACTTGTCGAATGAATTTTTCATATTTGCTTTATAAATGTGCGACGTTTATTTAATTGTACACATAAATCACTTGACCGAGAAAGTTTGACATGTATCTATTTTTTTTTTTTATGTTCGCCTACGTTGACAATGCACTGCAGCATGACCAATAACATTGTCCTCTGAATACATCTGCATTTAGAACTCTTCTTAGCTCCATTTATGACAGTTCAGCTTTAAACTACTGACCTCGCTGATCTCAATCAGATTTGGAAAAATTCTTGATTATTACAGCGGCACCCCTGTCACACGCTCGCGGCACCCCTGGGTACCACGGCACCCCTGGGTACCACGGCACTCCTGGGTACCACGGCACCCCTGGGTACCACGGCACCCAGTTTGAGAACCGCTGTCCTAGACCTTTTGATAACTTCTTTGGAGGTTGAACGGGCTATCTGCGATCTGTCTTCTTGGCCTGCTGTCAAAACTGAGATGTGTAGATCTCAGAAATGCACGGTAAACTTTAGAGAGGAGGCCGGAGGGGACAAACCGACCGATCTTACGACAAAGGACTGATGCTGGAGGGTAATAGATGAGGGTGTACTGCAGTATCATGAACAACGACTGCGGTCTGTGGGAAGACATGAACGTCCAGTCATTTGGAAAATCAAAAAATAATAAACTACTTATTTACATGTGTACACATACATGTACAGTTTTATATATATATGATGTCGTCTGCTTGAGGGAGAGACTTGTGCGTGTTTGTTTATCTCTGTCTCTCTCTCTCAGTATATATATATATGTGTGTGTGTGTGTGTGTGTGTGTGTGCTTTAAACTTGTCTGAAAGTTGCAAATATACAGGTACACTATTATGCTTGCTCAGGCGAGAACAGCTAATTTGCCATAGCCAGCGAAGCGTGCGGTCATAAGCAATCGCCTCTCTGAAAACGTTTTCCTTGCTGCATCAAACCACTGTGGGATTTCCAAGTGAAGTGATGTACTGATCCAGCAATGTAGACTTCAGTCATAGGGCAGCGAGCGACCAGCGTGTAAAGCGAATAATGGAATAATTGTACACTAGAGCAGTGTTTCTCAACCGTGCTATGTCCGCTGCCCACTACAAAAACGGCCCACCAAAAGCAGCTCATCTGATGATGATGATCATCATCATCTTAAACTACTTCTGCCGTTAAGCGTCGTGGGGAGGAATAATTTGCGTTCCAGTGCACGTTGGCTGCCACTGGCTATTGTCATGCCGTGAAGGCGTAGAGTGTCTTTAATGTTGTCGATTCATGTTTTCCGCGGCCGTCCTCTTGCTCTTGTAGTTGGACTTCTGAGATGTAGTGCTTGTGATGGTATTTGATCTTGCTGCATTCTTACGAGATGGCCAAACCACTTGATCTGCTGTTTCTCGATGAATCTAGTACAAGGTGTCGTTCCCCCAATTTGCATGATAGTTTCATTATTCACTCGATCTCGGATGGTTAGGTTGGCTGCTTTTCTCAGGCACCTCATCTCGCAGGTGGTAATTTTGCGTAAATGGGCTTTAGATAGCGTCCATGTTTGGCACTGCTAGCTTAATGTTGGAATAAATATGCTATTAAAATCTGTCTCTTTGCACTCATAGTTATGCTTGGATGTCTTAATAATGGTGACAATTGGTATATAAGTGCACTTGCTTTCTGACATCTGGTTTCTATTTCTCTGTCAATTCTACCACCTTCTGTGATCATACTTCCTAGATGATGATAACTAACCAAAAACAGAAACAAAAAGTGTATTTCTTAAATTTGATGTCATAAAAAGACTGTTTTCGGCATATGTTTCATCTGCTGCTGCTTTAGAGGTTAGAACATCTCAAATACATGTACGTGGCGTTAATTCTTATAGATGAAGCTCTGCAATAACATTCATTCGACTTTTGTGGTTTGGTTTTTATTACTTACATGGCAGAAGAAGTATTTTCACATAAATAGGAAGTCTAAGAAACCTCAAACAATCTAATTGCTCTATGAATAAAACAATGCTATTTTTTTTTCGACCAATTTACATGTGTTGAAGAACATTGATCTTGACGAGCTAACGTAATACTAATTTTAATATAATAATTTAAGAGAGAGGAAGTGAGAGGGAGAGAGAGAGAGAGAGAGAGAGAGAGAGAGAGAGAGAGAGAGAGAGAGAGAGAGAGAGATACAGAGAGAGAGAGAGAAACCCCACTGCACTGTCTATTTTCACCACTTTTTAGGAAAGCTTGGTGTAGGACACCTGGGGTAGAAACCTGTAAAGCTTTTAGGCGCTTCCACCAGGTGGCGGAATGTGGAAAAGCGTTTAGACATAGAGGTTAGCCACGAATATACTGAAAGTGGCCGTGGACCAAAATAGGTGATGCTCATTGAGAGGAGGCGAGTTAGTTGGTGGGACAGCTAACTCTACAAAATAACTCAAAACACTACGATATGGCAATCGGCGGGTAAGAGGCGCCATAACCTCTCCTCCACCCCCCAAAAAAACCCTCCCCCGCTGCCTTGCATGGTAATTCTCTTTAGACAAAGGCTATTGGAGTCAAACCATAAGCAAACCGGCGAAAGGAAACCACCGCTGTATTATCCCTAGAAAATCATGCCTCGAAACATAATGAATTTAGATAACGATGTGAATGGGAATTTGAGTGGAATCACCTCGTCCGGTAGGGAGCATCATGCTCTACGGGTGATACCCGACCGTCATCCAGCTGCTGTAGAGAAAAAGAAAGTGGTAGAAACATCATGAACATTGGTACATGGAATGTCAGAACACTCGAACAAAACGGGAAGTTGGATAACATCAAGATGGAAATGAAGAGAATGAACACAACATTTTAGGAATTAGGGAAATGCGATAGCCAGAAGCAGGAGAAAAGTATTAAGATCAGCACATAATTTTTTAATCAGGTGGGAAGAAATATAGTAAGTGAGTTGGTAATATTTTAGATTCAACGAACTCAAAAACTGTGAAAAGATTTTGGATAATTCAGATAGAGTACTATTAGTAAAACTTCATGGCAGACCGTTTGACAAGAGCTTAGTACAGATTTATGCCCCATAGTTCGGAAGAGTTCTCTGAAAGTACTGGAGAGTTTTGGGAAATGCCATTCTGGTCTCAAGACTCAGTGAAGGGAAAACCCCATCTGCACCTTCACGCGGTAGAGGACAGTAAACACACTGCGGTGTGGCCAACGCAGCTATGGGGACCGAGTATCCGCCGTAATAAATGGACACCTCTGGGGTGCCCTCTGCTGTTAGCAGGAGCATCACAGAGTGGGGCACTCACTTGCCCTAGCAATCGAAAAGGTTGCTGAAGGCTGGGGACGTAGACTAAAGCCATGTGGATGTGGAAAGCAACGGGAAACTACCACATTACTATCCCAAGAAACTCATCATGGAAGTCTTTTGAGAGCATGCATCTTCCCTGTGACTACATACGGATGTGAGTCTTGGACTATATCTCAGTCCTTAAGAAAGAGAATATGGGCTTTTGAGCTGAAATGCTATAGAAAGATTTCAGAATATCTTGGAAAAAGAAGAGGAGAAATATTGACATCTTAAAATATCTGAACATCAAGGAAGATTGACTAATAAACAGCATCCTTTCTAGGAAGCTG